TCTAATTCATGTATTAGTGTGCGTCTAAGATAAGTCTTCAACGATAATTTTTATAACATGACGTATTTCATTTCGATCAATATAATGACTTTATTCTCGTAAACATCTATTAATTAATTATATTATTCTTCGCTTAAACTCATATTAATAATTTAACGTCTGGGATTAGACTTGTATAATTCGGCCCATATATATATTTAAACGAATATTCTTACTCTTCCGTAACTCGCATTATATTACCCTTATCATTGTCCATCCTGATCAATTGATTGTGCTTCTCTTATATATGATTTTTATCCTTCCATTTTATTCAGTAAACAACCGTTCGCTCATCGCGCGCTACTGCACTATTGGTCCATAGGATTATTTAGTAAGAACAGACCAACTATATATAATTATCAGCGGCATGAATGCTATATATGACTTAATTCTCTGTATAATGTTATATGATATTATATCTCTCGCGAAATATCCTCTTTGAATAACTTATTTTAGTAAAAAACATTTCTCCCTTCCTCAAAGTATGATCATAAGAATTAGTGCGTGAAATGGACTTTATTCACGTATAGTACTAGTAACCAAGACGTAATATATGTATCAGATACCACTGTAAAAAACTCACCTGATCACTTGTGGAACATTTATCTTTCCCTCTGTTATATATGCTTCCATAGCGCCTTAATTTCTCACAGATTCACCGTAAAGCTATCTTCAGTAGTCACTTTCAGTCCTAATAGAGCCACCTCCTGCTTTCTCAGTAACTGTATTACATTTATATAAAGCAATCTGTAACGCAAGCGTCCACCTTCCCACCGTATCTGTATGAAACTCTGAGGTGAGTGTTTCTATATTGTATCTCAGTTTAATAGAGTCCCGGCCTCTATATCTAGCTTCAATCCTTGAAGCTCAGCGTGATATCATCTTCCCACATAACTGTCTACATCTCCTCTATACTACATTAAAGTGCATTAATGAGAGCTCTGTGATGTTCATTGTTAATCCGCCTTGAGGCTGTTGACCAATCCGACGGATGCGCAGCTCCCCCCTCTCTACCCACAAGCCTTTGCGGAGGCTCAGCGCGCTACATGCTAAGCTAACAGCCTCATTGTTAATTCTGTCAGCTCAAAGCAGACACGCTGTCGGCTTTCCGCTCTCCGGGATACTGCCCTCCGTTGATTGGGTAATGTCAATCTCCTTTAAGAAATCCTTTCCTGTTCACAAGAGAACAAAGAATCGCAGGGTCGTGTGGTGAGTACGAATCGCGGAGGTATTTTAATGTTAAGCGGAAAATATCAGCCCCCGTATCGGTACCGATAACAATTGCTATCGCTGCCTTGTACGCTAAACCTGCAGATGCGAGGACACTGCTGTGCCTGGCTGTTCACGCCTGGGGATGCGATCGGTGAGTGACAGCCCGTACACGACGGTTCCACTCTGTTTGAGAGCAGTCTCGCTAAACCGGTCGGTTGATCTTTGCGGAAAAGAAAAATAACTTAACACGAACATGCATCGTCAGCTAGCGGTTTTATCGTTTAGCTGTTATGTCGTGATATGTGACGTTTAAAGTAACCACCCCCCGGGTTGTTAAAGTTTTAACGAGCCTTAACGTGGTTGAGTGAATTATACTAGGGCCTCTTGCCGTGTATTGGGCTTCCACAGGATACACTGCAGGGTATATTTAATTTCTTTGGGCTTTCAGCTCAAGTTTGAAGTAGCGCAATGTTGCCTGGCTAGCTGCCAGAGACCAGCCGAGTAAAGTCACTGAAGTGGATATAAATAATACCTGGAAACACGAGGTGAGCACTCCATAGAGGTCAAATAACCCGAAGAATACTGTCCGTCGGGGGATTTGAGATCAGTTGACATAAGGTGTTATATAATGTTCGCCTTCGTGTGGTGGGACCATGGAATGGTGAGACAAGCTCGGGAAATTTGTGCTGCATTTTTTACATTTGCTCACAAAACGCGAGGGTTTAGTGGGCTAACAGAGCTGTTAAATGTTGATATAAGTCCTCCTTCCAGGATCCAGGTGGTCTCAGAGAAACAGGTGTCAGATCTGAGATCATGTAGTGCCAGGTTATTGTCCAACTCTGTGGTAATGCGTAAGCCAGTCCCAGCCTGAGAAAAGTGAGCGGATTTATTAATCGTGTTGGATTTTGCACACACACAGAGGGGAAACAGGATACCTATTAGACGGTGGAGGGGGACACAGAGGACACTGGAGGCTACAGCCTTTGTCCCTTGTTGACTTTACTCGCAGATCAACAGAAAAAAAACCAACTAGTATACTCCACTCCCTCCTAACTCTTTATTACTTGTGGCCATCTTTGTAAGTGACGTCCTCTGTGCCAGGTGATACATGATTTAGTTGCATTCAAACCACACCACCACCTGCTCCATTAATCAAACCTTCTCCTAACACGCTGAAGAGGACCCACTGATGTGATCAACTCGGCGCTCAAGGACGGACGCACTGCCCGTGCGCCACAGTAGATCCGCTGTCACTATGCGATGATAGAAGAATCACATTTGTCCCTCGTTTAATTCCTGGGCTGCTTCGGGCAGAGTTGCGCTTGCACTTTAAAAAAACAAAAAAAAAAAAAAAAAGTTGCTGCTCTAAGCCAAAGTGGGTTTTGAATTCTCAGCCCTTTATCTTTTTGCACTGGCTGCAGATTAGTGTGCAAACTCTTACCGGCACTGGAGGGGCTGTTATTGGAGGATTAGACTGCGTTGTGTGCGTGGGGACTGGACCAGGAGAGCAGGCCCACAGCAAACGCGCATGATGCTGCAGGGACACTAGGGTCCCTGTTTGAGCACCTTGTGTGTGGCGCTTGTTTTTCTTTTTTTTCTTTCTGCAGTCTCATCAGTTTGGATGGTCGAGCACAAGGGCTACTTTGAAGGAGCTCACCGGTGGCTGTGGTTTGGCCAAAGCTGACAGACCGCTTGCCAGCTATTGCTGATTTAGTACCCTTGTCCACCGCTGCCACTGCTGTAGCCCTCTTCGCTGTGGTCTCCAGTATGGTGAGTGGAGGCTGGAGGCATCGCAGGAGTGGAACTGAACCATTAATACTTGTGTAGCTGGTTACTTTCCATCATTTTTTCCCCCTGCACTGTGAAGGATTGCATTTCGGTTTCAAAGAGTGGTGTTTTTTTTTTTTCGTTTTTTTTTATACTCCCTCTGTTCTGGAAAAACCACCACAGTCAAGGTCATTTTTAAAATTCAAACCCCGGATAGAAGACTGCTCCAGAGGAGGATGAAGCTGAGGAAACAGGTGACAGTGTGTGGAGGGGCCATATTCTGTGTGGCTGTGTTTTCACTGTATCTGATGTTGGATCGAGTCCAACATGACCCTGCGAGGCGACAGAGTGGCGGGAACTTTCCAAGGGTAAGAATAATTGCTGCACACAGTGTGATGTCTGAAACCCCCTAACTGCAGTTATTTCTCCCCTTTTTGTTGTGATACACCAGAAGTAGATCAAAACAGAAATTAACATAAAGACAAATACATGGGTCTAAGTTTTTCTGTCACATAACACACGGCTTCATTTGTATTCTTTCTCTATAATGTTCAAATATAAATAAAATGTGCAATCCCAAATCTATCATTGTGTAGATGATATCTGATCTCATACTGTTATTTGTTACCTTGGCTGAATCACAAGATTTAGATCTGACTCACCGTAACAGAAGAAGAATGTGGCTTGGGTTAACAGATGTTTTATGATGTTATACAGCTGTGTGATTTATTATTTTTGTGTATTAGAGCCAAATCTCAGTTCTGCAGAACCGGATAGAGCAGCTGGAGCAGCTCCTGGAAGAAAACCACCAAATCATCAGCCACATAAAGGACTCTGTGATGGAGCTCACAGACACAGGAGCTGTGTCTCCCAGTGGCCACCTGCCATTCAGAAGCGCCAATGGTTCCTGGGTCCTACCCTTTGACGGCCGCCCCACTTTCCTTGCTGTCAAGCCCCAGGATTGCCAATTTGCTGCAGGCAGCCGTGGTCAAGCAGATGTTCAGGTGAACTATAATACTAGTTTTTCCCTTAGAGGAAATACTAAGTAGATATTTGGCCGCAACGTTGCCATCATTTCTGTATTGTAGATGCCGTCGCATACGTATTTTTGGGGTGTGTTTACTGAGCAAGTAATGAGTTTGTGTTTTATTTCAGATGCTGGATGTGTACTCCCTCCTCAAGTTTGACAACCCTGATGGCGGCGTATGGAAACAGGGCTTTGACGTTACTTACGAGCCAGAAGAGTGGGACAATGAACCGCTGCAAGTGTTTGTGGTCCCCCACTCCCACAATGATCCAGGTTAGCTGAGAGGGCATAACACATGCAGAAAAACTTTGTTAAAAGGTCTCAGTTCTAGTTTAAATGTCTGTCTGATCAAAGTGTATTTCAAGACCCAGCCTAAAGCCTGTCTGAACACTTTGTTTTCAGCAGGTTAAAAATGATGTTATGTCTGCAGACAAGCTAGCTACCGTGAGGCCTTACCTGAGCGGGGGCTAGTGATGGGGACGCAGAAATCATTCAAATTTTGATTCATTTGTTTTTAGAATAATCAGCATAATGTTGACATGATTGACGGCTTACGCACAAACAATGGAATTACAAAGATATTGGCAATGGACAACTAGCTATTTATAGGTTGGATTGGCTGAGATTTTATTTTGGACTGACATTTCCATTAAACTTGTTTACCAGCCTGCCACATGCTTGCTAACTTGACAGTTATTGATATGTTGACAGGCTGCAGAGACCTGCATATTTTGTCCATCAGCAATGGAAATAGGCTTCATATTTGGAGCTGCATTTGATTAAACTCTGCTGCAAAGTTTTCTTTAGTCATTTTTTATGCAGCATTCAGTGTCTAGGGTTAATGGATGGTTGCAACCAGGAATCATGCTGAAGCTCTTTTTACTAAATGCAGAGGAGGGATTTTAAGGGTTTAATTCAACTACAGGAAAGCACGTCGACCCAAAAAGACTGCAGAATGATTCATTTAAAATATAATAGCGTACAATATGTGAGGCAGATTTTTGACTGGATATTTCTAGGCTGTGGTATTTTACACTGTTGCACACTAACACACAGCACAGAAAGTGCTTTTTAGTCACTTTCTTTGAAACCTCTCTGCTAAATAGCTTTCTGAGGGGAACAGCTCTACTTTAATAAAATATGAGTTTTATTTTTGATCCATTGCAGCACTTTTTCCACAGAGTTGAGTCTCTTACCTGCCCTGTCTTGTCTTTGTATCAGCCGGTGAAACAAAGGGAAGGAAAGGTGGGGGTGTAGTGTACGGAGGTATACTGTTTCAGAGAGAGTCCAATTTGTAGTGGGCAGTCTGTTTGCCAACTGTTGTGCAGATTCCTCATATTTATCCTCTTGTCTTGTTAGGTTGGATCAAGACTTTTGACAAGTACTTCACAGACCAGACGCAGCATATTTTAAACAACATGGTGGTGAAGCTGGCCGAGGATCCTCGCAGGAAGTTCATCTGGTCTGAGATTTCATTCTTTTCCAAGTGGTGGGAGACTGCAGACATACACAAGCAAGAGGCGATGCGCAAGTGAGTCACAGCTGAGCGAAGCACACAGTTTTGCCTTTAGTTTCCCCACCTAAATCTGAGACGTTTGTCGAGATTTCTTTGATGCCGATTGGCCTGAAGTGCAGTGTTTTACACAATGGATTGTATCCGCTGGCAGATTGTGGGAGCTCTATAAATAGTTTATCTGGTTAATGTGTCTTTTCCTCTTTAGAGCTGGATTATCCTCACCTCTCTTTCTTAATCCTCTCTGTTCAACAGACTGATCCTTGGTGGGCAGCTAGAGATTGTGACAGGAGGCTGGGTGATGACAGATGAAGCCAACGTTCACTACTTTGCCATGATAGACCAGCTCATTGAAGGACATCAGTGGCTGGAGAGAAATCTAGGTACACGATCAGAAACGACTCCTTTCTCAAGCCTCTTAATTCATGTTCCTGTTCATATTTAGACGAATGATGTATACATTTGTAAGACGCTTGCTTCTCTCTGTGAAATTTCAGTGCTTCTACCTTCCCTCCAATTCCTTCTACTACATTGATGTCTAAAGTTGACACCACTCCTTTGAATTTTTGATGGCAACATGTCATCCTGCGTGTAGCAGATGTGGCCTTTCACTCAGTGGGAGATAAAACATTTTGTGCTACTTTCAGTGCTCCCTGCTGAGGAGAATGGTTTTCTAAAAGATGCAACTCTTCTTTTTATCTGAGCATAAACCTGAACTACTTGCTTTCTGTTCGCTGTCATAGGTATAACTCCTCGCAGTGGGTGGGCGGTAGACCCTTTTGGTCACAGTGCCACAATGCCTTATCTGCTGAAAAGAGCCAACCTGACCAGCATGCTCATCCAGAGGGTCCACTACTCCATCAAAAAACACTTTGCCTCCACCCGCAGCCTGGAGTTTATGTGGAGGCAGTCCTGGGGTGAGTGGACCAGGGCCTGCAACATTATCTGATTCATGTGCTTATCTTTGTTAAGCTCATTGCAGAATGAGTCATACCACTTGTCATGGCCTTTTAAAAGAGAGGGGGAAACTTTTGAAGTACAACCAGTGTGTAATAGCCTCAGAGGACCTATCTTCATTATTACTTCTTAATGAATTGGACATCTGCTGAAGATTTACTGTCCATTTGTTCTTAATGGAAAAATCCTCTATTACCCAGTTAGATATTATCAATTTGTGATTGCCAGTTCTTCTAGGGATTCATTCTTTAATGAAGTGCTATCATTTACATTTTGCTGTTTTATCCAAAAAGACAGTCCCCAGAGAACACTGTCAGTGTGAATGTAAATTGCCAACAGCAACAAGTGTGTGTGTGTGTGTGAGCACTGGTGTGTTTGTAATCACAAAAACCATCTTTACTCAGAGCAGAACATGCCTTATTATTTTTGGCTGGACCGCAGCAAACGAGCTAAGCCCTACAGACGTAATAGGCTGTGACTTTCTGAGTTAGTGAGTGAGTGATAAAGTTACACAATTGGTCCAGTCGAGTGTTGACTGTTGCTCTTCCAAAATAAGTTGGCACGTACCAGCCTGGCTGTATATATCAGAAGCACATGAGGAAATGATTCTGCTTTTCTGCTCTTGTGATCGCGATGTTTAGACGTAACTGATGTGTGGAATAAGTATGTAATTAAAAAAAAAAAACCCAGTCACAGACAGCAGTAATACTGTTTTTAATAAACATAGTCGATGGACAGAATTTGATATTTCACTGGGGGAGTTCAAAAGGGTTGGCAAGCCATATTTCACCATTTATCAGAATCAGACCATTAAATATATCGTTCATAATAATAGATTATCAGTGCGTTTTCTTGCCAGATTCACTCGCAGAAAGAACAGAACATCGGTTCGGCAGCCGAGCAGCCCAATTGGTTAACATGGAAGCAGGCTGCAATGTGCTGCTCCAAACAGCTCTCCATGCACCAAAAATCATGGGAGAGTGCACAATTAAAGCACCCCAAATAACAACAAAATACTCAATAGAGTGTGTGTCATAGAAATTATATAAATGAATGAAAGAGCAGGGGGAGTCTATAATTATAACAATTCTCTATAATCTATTATCAGATGAAGTTCTCTTGTACATAAAACATCTTCAGATTGAAGTGGAAAGTTTTGTTCTTGCAACTGCATTTAGCCTGTAGATTTTGTGATTCACACGTGGCTTGACGATGTCATGTAATCTGCTTCAGTGCACCTTAAGAACCACTACAGAAAAATGCAGATGAGCATTATTAGACACTGACCATACACGGTCTAGCAATATACCAGGTTTTGACCTATTACTGTACTGCTTTGACAGACACGGGATCGAGCACAGACATCTTTTGCCACATGATGCCATTCTACAGCTACGATGTGCCTCACACCTGCGGGCCCGACCCGAAGATCTGCTGCCAGTTCGATTTCAAGAGGTTACCGGGTGGTCGGATAAACTGTCCCTGGAAAGTGCCACCAAAAACAGTGGTAGAGGCCAATGTAGCAGAAAGGTGAGACATGTTGGGGTTAGTTATTGTTCTTACTTAGGGTAAGTTACAGGGTGGAGCTGGCTACTGTAGGGCTACTTCGTCTTACCGAACAAATTTTAGGATGTCTATTAGAGCAAGACCAACATATTGGCTGAGCTGATATATAAGTTGAAATTGCTGACTTATTGAGAAGTTGATTATCTGAAAATTAAACAGTTTTGATTATCAATGAATCATTTAACTTAGTCATTGAGCCAAAATGCCAAATATTCTGTTCCAGCCTGTCAGAGTAGGGATGTCTCGGCCAAGTTTTTTTTTTGCCTTTTTTGCATTTAATATTACAGAGTCCTGATGCTGTTATATTTTCCTAGATAATACAGTTGCACAGTGCACACTTCAAGTAAATTTAAAGTTTTTAAAATGAATCCAATGTATATGCTTGGAGTTTGGCTAAAGCTCCACACACGCACAGATTGGTCGCTGCTTTCAAAATCTGTTATCTGTACTGGTTCTTACAAATAAAATAAACTTGAACTTGAGCCAAAGACAACAGGCAGAGAGGGTGGATGAACAGAGGGAGACAGACATAGACTGCAGATGGTCTTGCTGTCACATTAAGCTGCTTTTAGAGGACCCAAAGAACTTTCCAGAGGACATATTTCAGTGGCTAATGGAAAATACCCCCAGGGCTATTTGATCCTCCTCTTTTCAAGGTCATAGTGATTTCCTACTAAACTGGCGAATGCAGTGCAGGGCAGTTTGCACGCCAAGAAATGTGTCCTCTCAGTTTTTCCTTTTTTTTACCCCCCTCCCTCTCTTTCTTCCTCTTACTCAATCAGGGCACACCTGCTCCTGGATCAGTACCGGAAAAAGTCCAAACTCTACCGCAGCAAGGTACTTCTTGTTCCCCTGGGAGATGACTTCCGCTACGACAAGGCCCTGGAGTGGGATCAGCAGTACATCAACTACCAGAAGCTATTTGACTACATGAATTCTCACCCAGAGATGCACGTACAAGTGAGAAAATAATTTGTCAACTGTCACAAACGAATGTTGCCAAAAACATGTTTTTGTTGCATCTTTTTCATTGTTTTTGTGCGTCTCGGCATGTGGCGTACCAAGTATCTCCGTGTACAACCTTTCTTGTGATAATGAGTCATGCAGTGGTATTTTAACTTGCTGACAGAACAAAGAATCTGTCACGACTTGATCAGTCAGAAGATGGCATGTGAGATGAAAGGTGCATAAATAATAATGAGATTTCTACTTTTTGTTCAGCTTTGTTAAGCGTGTGCTTTGTGTCTGTCTGGCTGCTCCTCCAGGCTCAGTTTGGGACTCTCTCAGACTACTTCAACGCTGTATACAAAGCGCACGGAACGGCCCAGGGATCAAGACCCGCAGACTACCCAGTGCTTAGTGGAGATTTCTTTGCCTATGCGGACCGGGAAGACCACTACTGGACTGGCTATTTCACCTCTCGGCCGTTTTACAAGAGCCTGGACCGTGTGATAGAGTCGCACCTCAGGTGGGGTAGATTTAATCACACTTCACTGCTCATTGACAACCACAACCTGCAGTGTTTTAATGATACAGTAGCTGTTTAAGTGAGTAAGTGCTATGGCAGGTACTTGTTTTTTTTTTTTTTTTTTGCATTGTAGATGTGACGTATTATATGAACGGTAATTATATGTACCTGGGGTCACCCCAAAAGTCTTTTTCTACATGAACTAACTAACACATTTGGGGGGGGGGGACGCTGTATTACAATAATGCAACACAAAATGCTTATTGCTTTATATGCTGTATGTGAAACTTTACAGTTAGGTATGCAAAATATTTTTAGTTAATTTGTTTGGAACTATTATATATTGGGCCTTTCTCATCTCTGCCATTCCTCTCTAATGAGAACAATCAATATTAAGCCAAACAGCAAAAACTTAAAATTGCACATGGGTTACATTAACAAAGTGTCCATATGACAAGTCACTAGAATAGAAAAGAGATTACACATGATTTAAACCAAGCAATTTGCTCGGAAGGTAGCAGAATTGCTTTGGTTTAAATCATGTGTAATCTCTTTCTTTAAGTTTGAAAATGAAATAGTGCAGTAATTTGAACCCACCTTTAGCTGATTAACTACTACTACTAACTGCTAACTGTTTTTTATAATCTCCTTTCAGGGGCGCAGAGATCCTCTACAGCCTGGCGGTTGCGAATGCACGGCATGCTGGCATGGAAGGGCGCTACCCGGTCTCAGATTATGCCCTGCTAGTGGATGCAAGGCGGTCCGTCGCCCTCTTTCAACATCATGATGCCATCACTGGTACTGCAAAGGAGAACGTTGTCATTGACTACGGCACCAAGTAAGGATCTGAGGGTTCAGAAAGAAATGAATCCTTTCAACACTGAATTTATATGAATTAGTAAAACTGTGCCTCCTCTTAATCCTCTATCTCTGTGGCTATTTTATACTTACTCGTTCAATATTTTGAAGCAACATAACAAGCTGTCTGCTATGACTGCTGCACTGAGTCATTGATTCTTCCCCTCCTCCCTAGATTACTGCGTTCACTTATCGGTCTGAAGAGAGTAATCATCAATGCCGCTCATTTCCTGGTGATGAAGAACAAAGAGTTTTATCGCTTTTACCAAACAGAGCCCTTCTTGGAGACAGTAAGAGGAAACATGCAGGGACACTTCCCCCCTCATATAATAATCTGATTTAAAAAAACAGCAAATTAATTTTGTTCCCTGTGTAAGTATACAGTGTATTTCCTGTGTAATGTTTTTCATTTTGTAGGATGACAGACGGGCTACTCAAGACTCTCTGCCTCAGCGCACTTTAATCGAGCTGGACCCAGCAGGGCCGAGGTATTATCAGCATCCTCTCTGTTCTTTCATCTCCTCTGCCTCCTCCCTCAGCCACTCCTCCACCATCCTGTGCAACTGATTGCTTTTTCCTTCTCTCTACCAGGTACCTGGTTCTGTTCAACCCCGTCGAGCAGGAGCGGCTGTGTGCGGTGACTGTGTTGGTCAACACGGTCAGGGTGCGGGTGCTTACTGAGGATGGGCAGAGCCTCCCTGTGCAGCTGAGTGCTCAGTGGAGCTCAGCTAGTCAAATGAGTGCAGAGGTATTTGAGGTAAGAGACTAAATTCATTAGTCACCGCTGCTTTCCGCATGGTGAAATTGGCATATAACCAGCACAGCAGCAAAGCATTCTGACAGCCCAGTTCAAAGTCATTATAGTTACATGAAAAAGAGAGACGGGAGCACTACAGTGTATGTTAAACGTTGTATGGGGGTTCCCTGGTAGCTCATATGGTAGAACGCACAACCCATGTACAAAGGACCTACCCCCGGGTTAAATTCCAACCCGCTACCCTTTGTTGTCTTCCCCTCTCACTCTGCATTTTCCTGTCTCTCTTCAGCTGCTCTTATCAAATAAAAGCCAGAAGAAAACGACGTTTGTGTCTCCAGAGGGAGCTGTGTGAAGTCTGATAAATTGCATCAAGTGATGTCACTTAGTCATAGTCTGTTGGGGCTGAAGAAAAAATATCTGGGGGTTTCTGGAGTTCATGAGTTTACCAGACCCTTGTAGCCCACTCCTCATCTCTTCTTGAGGGTCGCAGCTTGAGGCTACATCGGCCGCTACTAGCATGACACCCGAATCTCTGCCTGTTGATGGCCGAGTTGTATTGTGGGTAATGAAGGTGGCAGGTTTTGACGTGGAAGAAGTATGCAGATTAAATGAGACAATATCTGGTTCTGCTGTTGTTACAGGAGTGCAGCGCTTTATCTTTTAACCATTATTATATGTTGACTAGTGAGTTCAGCTTCACTAGGCGATATTTTTATGCATAAACAAACCAAACCAAAACCAACACACAACTCCGATACATTATTTTGTGGGTGTGTATCTGGGTGAAAAATCGTTGCTTTAAAGGACCAGTGTGAAGTATTCAGTGGCATCTTGCAGTAAAGTTGCAAAGTTAAACCATTTGAATATAGCTCATCCTTCCAAGTGTGTAGGAGAAACTACGGTGGCTGCAAAACTGTGACATAATTTAGAAATAAAATTAAAAGTACTTCAAATAGAATTTTGAATAAAAAGGCCTCAGTCATGAGTGCTTTCCTTTTATGTTTACCTGTAAGCCAGCACTGGAACAGATGTTTTCTTCCAGATCACAAAAAAAGAACACGGAAAAATACAACTCTGTTGAAACAGCTCAAATTGTATGTTGCATCTGCAATGGTAAAACGTATCCCATTTGCTTCACCGCACCTCCGTAGATGAATTTATTATGCCCAAATGAAATTCTCTCCACCCACATTAAGTAATGAATTAAAATGGAACAGAGAAATACATTCTCATTAACACCATCCCTCATCACATTTTAATTACAGCACACTGTTTCTAATGTGTAAATGCTTTTAACTTCTAATGAACTACTCAACACTCACTATTCAGATTAACAAGGAAAATGAAGCCAGCACTGTAAAAACGCAGGCTTTTTGCATTTGTTTTTTTGTGTGTATAAAAGCTTCAGTTTTCTGTTATTCAACCGTTCCTTCGACTGTCCAATCCAGGCAACATTCATGGTTCGTCTGCCACCGATGGGTCTAGCCGTGTTCCATCTCTATGACTCTCCTGATTCGCCCATGACGCTACGCTCCGACACCCTTCTCAGGGTTTCCGGTCGGGACGTCACAGCTCGGGCCGCGGACCCACTTCCTGTCCGCTCGCAGCAGTCCGACCCTCAAACATTCTACATCAGCAGTCAGTCTCTCACACTGGGCTTCTCTGGAACCACCGGCCTGCTGGAGGTTTGCCTTTTATCGACTCGTACTTCTGTTGAATTTATATCTGAATCAAGGATCTGCTCATCTATTATTAACTTTGATCTTTTTGAGGAATAAAGCCACGATCTTGATTTCCCAATAAGCCCTGACTGTTTGATCAAAGCGAACATGACGTGTCTTGTTGATTGACTCAAACATCCTTTCATCTCCTTTCTAATTCTGTTTTTTGTTTTTTTTTGTGTTCTCTTCCTCATTATGGCTTTGTTATCTGCAGAGTATCAAACGGAAAGATGATCCTCAAGAAGTGAAGGTTCAGATGCAGTTCATGGTCTACGGCACTCGTCCCTCTAAAGACAAAAGTGGGGCTTACCTCTTCCTGCCTGATGGAAAAGCGAAGGTATTCTCAGTTGTTGTCTCACATGTTTACTTGCCTCTCGGAAGGCTTTGATAGCGTCTCCCTTGTGTACTGTGTTATTGTATCATGCTGGGATGCTCGGGGCAGGAATGCAGGCAGACTGGGTGCTGCTTCATCTTTTTCCTTGATTTAAAGACAACAGAGTGTAGAGGCTTAGTTCCCGTGCTGTACCTTGTCACTTATTCTATTGGTGGCTCCTTCTATTTCATTCTCTGTCGTTCTTCTTGACGCCAAGTTTCTCTCCTTCTGCTTTCAGCCCTACAACCAGAAAGAGCCCCCCGTGGTGCGCGTCGTGGAGGGGCCTCTCTTCTCTGAGGTGGTGGCACACTACCAGCATTTCCAGCAAACCATTCGCATACACAACGTGCCAGGTAATAAACACACAGTGGAATCCCTTCAAATGGCTTCTGCAAAAAAAAGCTTTTTATGTTTAGTTAAAGGCACCAGATGGTACAATACAGCAAGGGCCAATACGTTTGACAAAATGACAATTTATAATTCAATTAGGTACTTTTTTCCCGTCTGCTGCCTATTTTTTACTTTTAAGCAGGCAAATGCTAAATACTACTTGTAAGTAGCATTTTGTTTAGATCACATCTTTTCATTCACTTCACTCTGGGGCCTGAGTTTGGTTCTTTGTGGTTTTGTATTTTCAGGCGTGGATGGGTTGTCTATAGACATCACCACCATGGTGGACATCAGAGATCAGACCAATAAGGAGCTGGCAATGCGACTGGTCACTGACATCCAGAGTGGAGACGTCTTCTACACGGATCTCAATGGCTTCCAGGTCAGCCCATCCTTCAATAGAGAATAATAACATATTTCTTTGTATGCCGTATAGGGGTGTCAGAAAATATAAAACAATAGCGTATGGCATTTTTTACTTGACTATCCCCGGCCTGATTAAAGTCATGATGGCGATGTTGATTTCAGGTCTTTCGTTGCGCTGTAAGTTTGACATATTTTGCTATCCTGTGTTTGATCTCTTCTCGTAGATGCAGCCCCGTCGCCACTACCTAAAGCTCCCCCTGCAGGCCAACTTCTATCCCATGCCCAGCCAGGTGTACATCCAGGACAGCCATCACCGCCTCACGCTGCACACAGCTCAGTCTCTGGGTGTCACCAGCCTGGAGAGTGGTCTGTATTGTATTACATTCTATTATATGTTGGTCATTTTTCTTCATTTCATTTTTTTTATTAAAGTTATCCTCTAAAATGCACTCTTTTTTTTTTTTTCTTTTTTTTTTCTGTCTCTGACCTTTTTATGGAATAGTGTTGTATTGAAGCACACTGGGGGGGGGTTCAAAGCAAAACAGTTCAAGCTCTCATGGTAATGTACTGAGCTAATCCTTTCATCATCGTTATGTGAGTAATGGAGGCGTTTGTAAAGGACGAATTGCTAATAGTGTTTGCCTTCATCGACTGATGTCTGAAAGTTCAATACGCTTCGTAATAATGCTGTTGTCCATGCTCCTGCTCCTTCTTCCTTAGGCCAGCTTGAAGTCATTATGGACCGACGGCTGATGCAGGATGATAATCGTGGGCTGGGTCAGGGCCTGAAGGACAACAAGAAGACGGCCAACCGCTTCCGACTGCTGCTGGAGACGAGATCCACTGGCAACAAGGTCAGTGAGATGACAGCGAAGGCGACTGTTGAAGCTTGGCGAGCACTCTTGAAATTCCCACACACCACATCTGCGTCTCTGGTGCTGAGTGACTCCGTATAAGCTCTGTGCAAGGCTGTGGAATATAAGAGTGTTATCTCCTTCATCTTGTGTTCATTAACACCTTTCTTCATATGTTTTTTCAGTCCTCATTACTACCTCATCTGTCTTTTTGTTCTCCACTCTAACTTTTTTCCCTTCTGTTCTTTTTCCGCTCCATTACCTTCAGCATGATGGCTTCTTTGCCAAACTCTCCTCCTTGTTTCATTCTTTCCTCTCCAAAATCTTGAGTGACGGAGTTCAAGAGGTAACGTTGCCTTGGCAACAGTGAAGATGCTTGTTAGCCCACACCATAGTCTGTGCTGTAGCTCCAGTTCCTATTTTTTGCTTTCCTCCACCTCGTAGTCTTTGCCAAACCGGTCGATCTTTTCGACAGCGCCACTGAAAGTAACTAATGATTACATTTATCAAGTAAATGAATACACATTGGCAGAGCATGGAAGGCATTGGTTGCCGTTTTATCATCCACCTCGGTGGTAGAACTGCTGATGGTACTTGGGATGTTGGGGAACGTCTTGGGAAGTTGCCACAAAATATCAAACATCCTGTTTTAAAGACTATAATCCTGTTCATTTAAAAACGACATCACAACACCGCGGCTGTAACAAACCCAATATAGATTGATCAGTTCTGTGTTTGGAGTAGAATTAGAAATATACTTTGTAATTAGAGCCCATTCCTTAGGTAGTGCGGTAATAGCAAAAGAACGACTCACTGATGTTGTGATTAAAAACAGTCACTTACCACTGTGCCATAAATCCTCCTCCTCCTACAGATGATGGACAGTGCAACAAATAGCTTCCCGTCTATACTCAGCCACATGACCAACGCCTTCCTGAACCACGAGGTCTTGGCGCTGCCCGTCCTACCCAAAAGACGTGGCATCCCTCCTCTGCAAACCTTCGCCCCTCTCAAGTCCATCCTGCCCTGCGACTTCCACCTGCTCAACCTGCGCAGCATCCAGAGCCAGGTGACGAGGCACAAACAACACACACTCATTTTCGATTGAGCTATTATGTGTATTGACTTTGAAATTGACACGCGTGCCCTATGATGATTGTGTGTATGTGTGAGCAGCAGGACCCCCACTCCCCGTCGCCATACACAGCCTTGATTCTTCACCGTCTGGTGCTGGACTGTGGCCTGGAGGCTCAGAACCTGGGCTTCAATTGCACCACAACACAGGGACAGGTCAGGGTAGACACACACACACACACACACACTCTACTAAATCACAGAAGGATAAATGTACTTTTTACTTTTCTGACAGCTATAGCTATTGTTTAGTTTACAGATTAGTATTGTACATACAAAACACATGATCATTGTATAGAATATGGTGCTTTAATAGAGGTTAAACTACCAAACAGCATATAAAAGACTCAACTGTCTACAATATTAAAGTGCTGCTTAAATATGAATGCACTAATTATGATAATTATCCAATAGTAATAAATAATATAGCACTGCCAGGGGCTGTTCTGCATAATGAGTACTTTTACTCTTCATAATTTGAACACTTCTGGACTTTAACATAAGTGAACTTTGAACTATTTTTAAAGTGTGTTGTTGCTAGTTTGTACTTCAGTAACAATTTGAATACTTCCTCCAGCATCGGTTTTGTTTTCTATCAGCTGTAAGCTAAACGTAAAATTTCCTCTTCCACGTATTTGCATTCTCGCCTGGATCAGTTTCTTGTGTTTTTAACGCCCTCAGCCTTCCTGTTCTTCTCTCTTTCTCTCTCTCTCTCTCTCTCTGCAGCTGAATGTATCAGGACTGTTCAAGAACCTGGACCTGCAGCTGCTCCAGCCCATGTCCCTGACCCTGATGCACTCCAGCACTCCTCTGGCCAATGACTCCTCCATCAGCCTGGATCCCATGGAGATCTCCGCCTTCAAGCTCAAACTGCGCTAAGAGCCGTCCGGACTTAAAAAAAGGCAATACAAACTGACCAGACTTCTTGGACCCAAGCACCAGGCCCACGCCGGCCACAGACTGGCAACAGAGGGGTCTGAGTCTCTCTGTCTTGTCAAGCAGAACCACAAACACTATAGCTCGGAGAGAAAAAGGTCCACTGTAACAGGACTGACTGCACAGCAGGGGGCAGACGATAGCTGTTACCGTGGACGTCTCCGAGAGCAGCAAAACCCAGGTGACCTCGCAGCTGTTCCAAAACAAGAAAGACTGCCAGAACTGCTCATCAGATACAACCGGGTGTCTGTTTGGCCCTGTAATCGAAAAATGAAATCTCATTTAGTTCTGCTTTGTAAGAACGTGTGTCTTTTTTCTATCTTTGCTCCATCCTGGACTGAACTACTGAATGTAAATATCCCAAATGACTGAGGGGGCCTGGGACTCGTGCCACATCAGAGTGCAATTTACAAAGCTTTATTTGGTGTATGGGTTTTTTTTTTTTTTTTTTAAATGTACGCAGTGAAGAAGACACTCATCACAGCGATTTTTGTTTTTGTACCTTTTCACTGTAACATTGACTGCAGTTAATTACAATATTTTTTTTTCCGACAGACTCGAATGCAGCAAAGAGAATGTGTGGTCTCTCTATCACAAGGAGACCCAAGCTGCAGCTCTTTTTAAAGCTTCTGTATGTCTGAGTCTAAGAGTCCCCACGTCGGTCACTACGCGATAACAATGTGATCGTTAATCATATCAGATGACCGTTTACCTTCTGTTCACCGTTTTTGCTTGTAGATAGTCCGCAGACTTTCTCTCCTTCACGTCTTTCTCCCCTCCCCGAGCTTCCTCTTTGCTGATGAGAAAACTGTGGAGCGTCTGTGCATTTGAGAGCCCCTGTCCGTCATTCCTCTTCTTGTACTTCGCTGCTGAGAGGTTGGTTTTATTTACCATGCTGTGTGCGGTCGAAGACAAAGACTATACCTCATATATACCATATGGCAGAATTATCAGTATGCGTGTGTGTCTGTAGAGGATGTCGATGTGAGAGTTTATTTTGGGGGCGGGGCGGGGGTTTATTGGAGTTACAGTGTGCACTATCAGGGACCGTTCATAGTACTGTTAGGTATCATCGATCCGTTCGGGGGTGTCGAGCAGTGGGTCACATCGCTGCAGGACAAAGAGAGCTCGCCATTGAAGATCAGAACGTAACTTAAAGGAGGAGTTCACCTGAGTTACAACAATAGGCACATTCACTCCAGTGGAATCTGGCTCTGCAGATAGTTTTGGTTTTGAGATGTCAAACTAGAGCTCCTACAAATGATTGTTTTAATTACTAATTAACATTCTATAAAATATCAGAAAACTTAAAAAAAAATAAAAATAAATGCTCTTTACAATTACCTAGATCCCAAGGTTACATCTTTTTAAATCACTTCTTTTGTACAAACAGTGATCAGAAACTCAGAGATATTAAAGATTTTTCCATTTTTTTAAACTTAAAAAGTAGCCCATTA